AGAATCCCTGCGGGGAGCCGTGACTGACAGTCACCGTTCACTGCAGGGAGACGATCAGGAAGTGAGCAGATTGGTGCATGTTTCTGCTCACTTCCCAATGCATAGGGCCGACCTGTGACAGCTTCTTTGTCACAGGTCGGCTCTAACTATGAGGATTAGTGGAAATCTCTCACCTCAAAGATTTCCTTTAACTGATAGAGAGAAAAGTTAGGTCATCTGCCCTGCCAAACAGGTCTGTACTCTGTGGCAGCGCTGTGTAAAATTCAGAACTAGATGGACGAAAATACAAATCCTTTTGTAGTTAAAAGCTCCCGTATATGATGATACTTATTGAAAGCTTCTGAAAAGTAACATGTTTTAGCTTGACATTTACCATATCTATGCACTGTTTTTAATACCATTATTATTATTGTTGTTATTATCATGAATTAACTAACTTGTGTTGGTTATGTTTGCCGATTTAATGAAGAAACGAAGTATACTGCCATCATATAATTTTTTTACCTGAAAGCAGCAGGTGCAGTTGATTGTCTGTGCTTCTAACCTAAAATACTGGACAAAAAGGGAATTAAGTGCTGGACTGCTTCCTCCTAGACATTCAGCCGCATTGACCTGTAATAAATGAAGTGTGTATAGAAATCCCTTCCACTGTGTGCACACACAGGGTGTTTTCATAGGTTTTTCTCAAATATAGTAGAAAATGACTCTAGGTTAATTTTTTCACCATCTGTCTACATACAATACCTTCTGTCTATCACCCTACTAATTCTGCAATCTGCACCCCACACAGCTCTGTTAGTCAACCAATGTACAAAATGACAAAAGGCTTGGGTTATGAAAGTTTACACAAGGATAAGGATCTATATTTTAAACCATGTGACTGTAACTTTCAAGTCTCATTGAACTCATTGGAAAGTAACTGTCACTTTTTTTTAAATAAATGTGCCTGTGTGTTTTGTGAATGATCAGGAGGAGAGGCAGGAGGAGATGCAAGGTCTATAAGAACTACAGCATTCACATGCAAGCGGGCACAAGAGTAAGCAGGAGCTATACTTTCCCCCACATTATTATTATTATTATTATTATTATACAGGAATCAGGATACATAGCGCCGATAGTCTGTGCAGCGCTTTACCCTATAAGGAAGACATTACAGTTAAGTGTTTTAATACTGGTTAGTTGTTGTTGCCCAGAGTCAAGCTTTAAAAAAAGCACCCCACCTCCACCTGCATATTTATTGAAAAATAAATTATGTATGTACTTCAAATGAAGAGTCTTTTGGACATATACATGACTTCTTGAGGTCCTCTATCTCTCTGCCCCCAAGCAGTAGTAGAGTGGTCTTATATACTCTGCTTTCCACAGGCACATTGTGCTGTGTACTAGAGATGCACAGATACCCATACTAGTACTCGTACTCACCCAAATGCTCCAATACTTACCCCCCATACCGGAACTTCTGGTAAAAGGAAGATTTCCTCTGACCTGCAGTGTTGCAAGAGAACATGGAGCCGGCTTCCCTGCCAATCCGCATTGAGCCAGCGAAACAGAATGGAGCCAGCTCCATGTTCCCGGAAGTACCGGTATTGGTATTCGGTATCAGTGAGTACCGAAAGATAAATATGGGTACTAGTAGTCGATACCGAAAAAGCGGTATCGGTACATCCCTTCTGTGTACCCAGGAGAAAGTAGTGATACACCCACAGGGAGTGTTGTCTTAGCAACATGGGCTTACAGTGGGTTGAATGAAGATTGTTTTCATTTGTTAATTTGCTAGCTGTGGAACAGACTTTCTGCGGTGAGGAGGTAAGTATTGCATCAAAGCTTTATATTTACATTTGATATTGAAACTGGAGTTTTAAAAACTGAAACACTATTAATACTCAATGGCTAACCCCAGCTACAACTTTGGATATTTAAAATGACAATAATTAATGTTTACATCTGTTTTGTAAACATTTTTTGGAGCACATCAGACTAAAATTGAGATGAAGTTGAACAATTGTGGCCACTTTCTCCCTTCGTATTGTAAGTCACACCCCATGTGTCTTATATCAGCTGGATGTTTGGTGTGTAACATGGTAACTCGTACAATACTGCTTGAATAAGTTCACATTTATGCATTTGAGTTGGAGCATGCGGGGCTAAAAGGCACTCCTAATTTTGTTATGGTCCACATCTATTCAAAGTTATGAATGTAGAGGATTTCTGCCTAGGCACCAGTGTCTTTTCCTAGCCTTGTATTTGTCAGTGCTTTTGTTTTCATAAATGGAAAATAATCGACTTATTTTCTCTTATCCAGCCACTCTCCAGTAAATTAAACCATGCTTTAATGAAAAATGCATAGTTAAATTGAAAGAATATGATTTAAATGAAGGCGTCTCTCTTCAGGGCACAGGGTAAATAGGTTACATTTGTCTTCTGTCACCTAAAGAAATTCTTGCTCACAGAAGCTGATAGTTATTAAATGTCCTCAGAACACTCAACAGTCTATTGAATTACCTTTGCTTTATTTGTATGCAAGGACATTGCTTTAAGTGTGATATTTAATTCAGCTTGTTTTTTTTTGTGTGGCATCTTTTATAACCACTTATGCCACATTATATAACAAATGAACGTTGCATTAATTTATTCATCTGCAGCTACACAATACGAAAGTGGATCAGGTATCAAAACCAATATTATTCTGATTATATATACAGAATACTATATGCTCCAGTAAGTATTCCCATTAACTGCAATTGAAGGTTTCACCTGAAATCACAAAATAATTATGTCAGATTTCTTTGTCTATATGTGGTAGTGGTTGAGTAAGAAAGCTAGAAGGTATCAGTAATGAGAAATAGAATTTCTAATAACCTTACCATTGTAAATAATATATTTCTAACATTTTTAAAACAGTTTTAACTGTGAAGGCCTCCAGTGATATTTTTTGTATTTTTTTTTACATTTTCTCTTGATTTTATCTCTTGTATGCTTTATGAGCAAGTTGTTGGGTTTCGCATATCATCTGCACCCAGGCCCTGATGTGGGAGGTAGAATGTAAACCTGAGTAGCTGATACATTATTTTTTTTAAATAATAACGTTTATTGAGAAATTCCAAAAATACAAATGACAGGAACCAATGCAGATTGGTCTAGAGCAATCCTCCCCCACATATAATAATGTACTTACCATACAAGAGTAGATATACACCAGTATACAGTATATCAAGCAATCAAAAAATAATCTTGAATCCAGAGAGGATACACCATCACAAAGACAAAAAGGAAGAAAGGGGAAAAGAAAGGGAGAGAAGAGAAGGGGAATTCCTGTCTGGAGTTCAGACACCATGCAAAATAAACTCCCAGCAAACTTCATGCTTACAGACCAAAGACACGGGTGCAGCTTAGTGGAACAGGAAAATTCTATCCAGATGCTCCACGTAGCCAGAAAGTCAGAGTAGCAGTCATGCAAGCATGTCAAAGGAAAAAAACTTGAGGGGTGAGGGGGTCTAAACCCAAGGAGGGACATGAGGGGCAACGGGGTGAGATGTTGCTTTATGGACAGCCATGGAAGACCCAATCTGTGATATGACTCAATCAGGTAGTATAATTCCATGTGAGATTGACCTGATCCCCCATTCCACTTACTCCTAACTAAGATATCATGCCATAAATAAGCCAACTTGCAAGACCAGAGGTACTGAAGTAATAGTGATCTCAAGGTATGAGAAAAGGAGTGGGAAACATGGATGGGCAATGCCTAATGTTAAAAAAAAAAGCAACACATCCATCTTAAAAGGGCCATCTGACCCATCCAAGAATTCAGTCAATGTGGAACGTCGAGCGAATTGCCTCCACTGTCTCCACTGAACCAGTCCGGCTCCCAACCCCTGCCTAGATCGCAGAACTTGCTGGCACATCTCCTCGCTACAGCTCCTCTCAACCACAAAGGAAAGAGACTGATCCCCACAGCTTGAAACAGCTGAACCGCAAGTATCTGGGCTCTAAGCTCTATATTGAACTACCTGATAGTTGCCTGATACTACTGCTGATGAGTACATGTTGAAGTCAGATGCCTGTGTAATTACTACTGAAGGGTTACATGCCAACTGGAGTGTATTAAGAATTACTACTGAAGGGTTACATGCCAAATGAAGTGTATTAAGAGATACTGCTAAAGAGTACATGCCTACGCTATATGCCTATCTACTGACGTAAATTCCACACAGCTGTTGTTAATTGGGTATAAAGAGCATTATCAGTAATCCAGATTGCACAGTATTTCCCAGATGCACTGAGTGTTAGAGGCAGCCAATACAACTCGGGGTTGTGTGTGCAGTGATAACAATCTATAGCTCCTCCGGCTGGGTCATACTACAGTCCCATCAGACCCCTAACACTATAGTAACTTCCCTTGAGCTAAGGCTGGGATACATGATGTGGAACGACTTCCTAGCGCACTGAGTGTGTAGGAAGTCGCCTGACTGACCGAATCCCATACAGCCTACTAAATTAGTTCCGCAGCTGCCGTCCAAGGCCACCATAGCCGCTTGATTGTGATACTCACAGGAAGTGCCAAGAACACTGCATTTCTAGCAAATTCAACAGGTATTTTCTACAGGTGTTTTCTGAATTTTCAAAGACGGGCCTTCACATTATTTGATGTTTTAAGTAAACACAGGTTAATTTCATGACATGTTTCGGTAAATAAGGCCCAAAATCAATTACTTTAGTTCAATTCACTGTAATTCCTGCTTTAATAAATTAGTCAATTTGCATATTTCCTTTTTCATTTTATCTTTGTGCTATTTACTTATACAAATATATATTTAGGTTTTGTTTGCTATTAATATTTAATCAGCTAACACATTTGTCTAACGTTGAGCATTTTGTTTTTGTTAATGTAGCTTCATATGGGTAGTCAAGTGTAGCAAGTTTGTTTTGTAATGTGCTGTACAGTATATATACTGTATTTAGAATTAGAGGAAACTAAAAACCTTTTTTTCTTTACACAGAATTGGATGAAAAGAATGTACATTCACCTCCTTCAAAGAAAAGTAAAGCCAAGAAAGAAGATGAGTCTACTGCTAGTAAGTAATCTTTATAATAAGCAAAATGTACTGCCAATCAGTTTCTTGTTATTACTGCTCCCTTCTTTCCTTCAGGGCTTGGGCTTAGTCTATACTGCCCTTACTGTAGCACGGAAGCTTTTCCAGCAGTGGTTCCTGTCTATTTTAAGGAGAAAGAGCAGGAAAGATTCATACTATGTTGCGTTAATGCATGTGTGTTAACACAACATGACCATGATTTTCTGTATTAAAGGAGAACTATGGGGTTAGGGCTTTTCCCCATAGTTCTCCTTAGGGTAACGGGAGGACACAAACTAACATCCTCCCGTCACCCTAAGCTCAGTATACCGCGAGCTACAGCTCGCGGTATACTGAGACGCCGCAGCTGAAGCGGATCCCAACAATTATGTCTGCATCCGCCCAGCTGCGTGAGTGACAGCTGTACCCGCCCCCTCCCCCGTCCATTCAGCCAGTCAGATTGACCAGCACTAGATATAACACTGCACTTTTCATCATTGATGCTGCTACTCAATTTTGAATTAATCAGAATCATGATCTGTAATTGCTCATACTAAACTCATTTTCAGAAGAGAAAATGACTGCCATATACAATCTGAATCTAAAGTTGTAATAGCAGTGACAGTTAACATACAGAATTCTCAGTGCTATGCACAACCTGATCAAGGGTTGGTAAAAAGAGAATTTGTCAAGGAGATACCAGACTGAAAATCAGCCAACATACTTCACCGACTTTCATGCTTAAGAATGGCTACTGGCAGGGGAATGGAATAAGCAGGATAAATAAATCCAGTTGCATGCATGTTTCACATTTGTAGACATTGAATTCTTCTCTGCAGGAGACTGTTGATGAAAAGAAGAGATCTAGATTGATTGATCTATAGATTATTTATTATCATTGCCCTTTGCATGCAGTGATTAAATAACAATTGATAATCACATGCCTGATTCTGCATTTTGCTTTATGCTTCCAACTGGTGCTCTTTGGCAGTTGATTTTGATAGTATATTGAATTTTAAGAGAACTTCACATTTTACAGAAAATAGAGCATATTTGTTTTTACTCTGTGAATGCCACCTAAAAGCAAATGTGAGTTTAATCACTATAATAAACTTACATTTCAATTATAAAGTTATATCAGATTGGTACAAAGTAATACCTGGTCATCTGAACATGGCAGCTCAGCGTGACATTAAGGAAAATATATCTAAGTTTTTTCAGCCAACGTCGTGAGCCAAAAACCTTTTACTGAAACCAATGGAATATATTAGTTATGAATGATTGCATGGCTAAACAGAAAGCCAAAGATAAATTAGTTACCACCTCTTTGCTGAACATTTTCTAGTTTCGGTTTTGCATAATTATAATTTCCTTATACTTTCTGTATTGTTAAAGTACATATTTTACTCCTTTTTCAACTGTTTAAAGAACACAGATTGGTGATCGTTAAAAGTTTATAACACAATTATACAACTTTGTTTTATCACTTAGATGTAACATGAAATAGCATTTAACTTTAAAAATATTATATTTTATAGTGAACACTTAAACATTTTATGATAGGTCCATTAAAATAATTTGTTGTACATCAATGTGACATGCAGTAATTGCTAAACCCATAGTACAGAACATGTATTGCTAGATGACTGCTCATTTTGCACATATAAGGCCCCTTCACACAGGCGGTCCGATCGGTTCCACCTGTCAGTTTTTCAACTCTAATCTATGGGCAGCCATGTGTAAATGGATGTGCATCAGAGATTAGTTTCGCCGCACCTGATCGTGACAGATCCAGGGTAATCTGATGTAAAATTACACATGTCTGTTTACATCCGATTGCCCATAGACCATTACTTTACGTTTTTAACACCATCGCAAGATGGAGGAAAAAAACTGGACGGACACGTATGTCACAGTGGTGACATCCGATTGGTACCGCTCCGATCAGGAAGGGATCCAGGCACAGATCCCCTGCTTATCAGCCTGTGTAAAAGAAGGATTAAATGGTGGAATTAGCCATACTTGAATGTTGAGTTGAATTTCGGACCTCAGGCTGTATCTTCTGCATCTTTGCTGGACATTGATTCCTTTTTATGACATCATGCTTCACCAGGCCAAACCTACATTGTCTCCTCAGTGTCTGTTCAACAGGAGACAGCCTGCAGCCACACAACAAGGTCTGGACTATTTAATTAAATACCCTTTCATCGTGTGCTCACAAACATGTAAGCAGTTAGCACTGACTGGTTAGAGACATGCAATTGGTTAAGCTTACATGTAGACTGGTATTTGGACACTTTGCCCTGGAGATAAGGGGTTTGATTTACTAAAGGCAAATTGGCTGTCCATTCTACAAGGGAAATTACACTTTTCAGAGGAATTTTGCCTTAGTAAATGTGGTGAAATTTCACTTTACAAAGAACACCCAATCATGTGCAAGGAAAATAAAAAAAACTGTACTTTTGCTTGCACATGATTGGATGCTAGAAGTCAGCAGAGATTCACCTCATTTACTAAGCTGAGGGGAAACTTACCCTGCAAAGTGCAAATTCATTTACAAAGTGAACAGCATATTTCCCTTTAGTAAATTAACCCCAATGTCTATTATGAACAGGCTCAGATTGTCACAGTGCATTTAATGCAATTTAGACCCAGAAGTGTGTACTGAACCTGCATTTGTATTAAAAATTAATCTTTAAACTGAATCTGGGCAAATCAGTTTGATCTTCCCACCCTAGGGCACCGGGGGTGGCAAAGAGCCCAGTGCCCGTCCACATTGGTCACCAGTGCTTGGGGAGGGGGACATCTATTTTTTTGGGAAACCCCTTTCAAATCTGCCCCTCCAATGCTAAATGGCATGCAGGCTGGTATCAACATAGCAAGGGGTCTGAATACTTGCCAATCCTTTACTATGGGGATAGCAGCCCACATGCCTAGAGTGCCAGTCCGTTTGGAAGGAGGGAGGGAGGGATGCCTTGTTTTGTTAGTTTGGCATAAAATGGGCTCAGTTGATGTTAATAATGTCATTAAAGACAGTAGTGCTGGTGATTCCATTGAAATAATTACTGGAGGGAAATAGATCATGAGATTTGACAGGTTAGACATGTAATATGGACAGCTGCTGTTGTAAGGGCAATATCATGTTGGCGCCCTGTGACATAGAGATGATTTAACCAGAAACCTTAGTGACATTTCTATATTCTTTGTATAGTTCGGGAAATAATGCATTACTTCTCTTTCTTGAGGGTACCATGTTAGATGTCACCTAAAATAGGAACATGAATACAGTTACTCCTGCATGTATCCTTGTATTTTATAAATTACATGAGATCATAGCACACTAAAATTAGACAGCTGTTCATATAAAGTAGGCCATACATTAGTATGAGTGTTTCTTAAGTATAGCGTAGACTGTTTCAGAAAGGTTTAACAACTCCATAGAAAATACAGCTCGGCTGTAATTGCCAATCTAGCACAACCACCAATTTTTCAGTACCCTGTAATTTACCACAAATGTCCACTTTACGCTAACTCTTGACCTCATGGAAATTTCATATTACATGAATTTATTTCAGGATACTGTTTCTGTAATAGGTCAGATCTTACCGTTCACCTGCTAAAGAAGACCAACACAATGAAATTCATAAATTCAATACCAGAATCTACATGCAGCATACAGTTTTTGCAGGTACTACACGCTGACTCTTGGCATTTAGCATAGGTCAAGCCTGTGTTGCTTTGCTAAGTACACCCAACACTTCATTATACAGGACTGGTACAATTTTTTTACAGTTTTGGCCAAATTTGGTTATTAAAGTATATTTCCAGCCAAAACATTTTGAGGGGAATTTATCCGCTTCGCTCTCCTCCCGGTCTCTGAATGCAGGAAGTGATGTATATTACATCACTTCCGCATTCCTCTGTCAATCTCCGGTACAGAAACCGGAGAGAAGCTGATGAAGCAGATCTGTGCTTCATCAGCTTCTCTGGGGGTCCCTAGGTGACATTAGGGGTCTTAGAGACCCCTGATGTCTCCATAAAGGGGACCTTTAACTGTAATTTGTTATTACATAGGGTACTTCTTAGCACCCTATGTGATAACAATAAAGTTAAGTGTAAAAAAAAAAAGTTAAAAAAAAATTGCTCACAAAATAAATAAAAATGTACACACATAAAACAAAAAAAACCCCACAAAAATGTTTTAAAGTCCCCCACATAAATGCTCCAATTATGCTGCACGTGTTACATGTCGTAATGAGAGCAATAATTTTAGGGCCATTAATTGCTGATAACACTAAACTGATGAGCTGTAAAATCATTTAAATTGTCGCCTATGGTCAATTTTGGCTATGGTGTTGTTTTGCGATTTCATGGGCGCGCACAATTTTAAGGCTTGACATGTTTGGTGTCTATTTACCCGACGTGACCCCGCCTTTTATATTTTACCAAAAAATTGGGTACAAATAAATGTTTCCTAAAATAATAAAGTGAAAACCATTTTGTTTTTAAATATTCGGTACTTTTTTGTTATATAGTAAAAAAAAAAATAACCCAGTGGTGATTAAATACCACCAAAAGAAAGCTCTATCTGTCCCCAAAAAATGGTATTAAATTAATTTCAGTACAGCGTTGCATGACGGAATAAACGTCAGCAAAGTACCGCAGCGCTGAATACTGAAAAATGGCCTGGACAGGAAGGGGGTGTAAACACCCCGGTCAGCAAGTGGTTAAAGAGATTTTTCCTCACTTTCTGTCTTGGTGAAAATGTATTTACTAGAGTGAAAGAAGTGAGAGAAACTCTGAAACAGGGTCATAGACAGCAAGTAAAAGATAATGGGGATTTTAGGTTTACTCTATTCAGCTGGAAAAATATGCATTTATGTATGTGTTGCTTTTGCAGATTTCCCCCATTTCCTGTCTTGTAAAATAGACATTGTCACCAGGAAAGGGAGTTAGAGAAGCCCCAGAAAGCAGATATATCCTGACATGGAATCTAACCTTTT